CCTGCCATTTTTTGCTTTAGTTATTTCTCTCTGTGTGTGTGTGTGTGTGTGTGTGTATGTGCGTGTGCACGTGCACACGTGTGCACACACACACGTCCCAGTACTGGGGCTTAGACTCAGGGCCTGGGGGCTGTCTCTTGGCTTTTCCCCTCAAGGCTGGCACTCTACCACTGGCGCCCAGTTCCATTTCTAGTTTTGGCTAGTTGATTGGAGATAAGAGTCTTACAGACATTTCCTGCTTGGGCTGGCTTCAAACTACAATCTTCAGATCTCACAGGTAAGAACAGTCCACTACATTTAAGGATTTTAAGGTTAAAAAGTCTGTACTTCGGCCATATAGACACAACTTTGTTAATTTTTTAAATTTGAGATTGGTGAAATCCACAGGTGCAGAGCTTTTGGGCCTCTCTGAAAGGCCCCATCAGCGTGGGCAGGGCCAGTCTGCTTTGTGGGGGTCCTCCTGCGGTAGTCGGAGCTGTCCCACCGCCTCGCATCGGGGGAACCAGCCCCTGGCACCACCACGGGTGGCAGCAAGCACCTCTTCAGTTCCCCCGTCCCAAGCCTGGCCCCTGTGAGACTCCATCCCCCTGTAGCCTGGAGGCCTGCCCGGGCTTCTGTGGCCTCAGGGCTGCAGGTTAGAGCAGACCAGGACCTGTCCCAAGCTGGGTCCTGCTTCCTGCCACTCCACAGTGACCCCACGCATGCCCAGAGCTGGGGCAGGGCAGTTTGGGTTCTCACATTCTCACGTGGCACCTGGAGTTACAGCTCGAGGTTGGAGAGAACGTGAAGCAGGTGCTGTCTGGATTTCAAGGGAGAGCAGGGCCTGGAGGACTGAACTCCAATCTTGAGCCCAGGGGATACGCCCGAAAGACTGGGGCTAGCCAGGTACAGATGGCTCACACCTGGAATCCTAGCTACTTGGGAGGCTGAGATCTAGGGATCACAGTTCAAAGCCAGCTTAGGCAGGAAAGTCTGTGAGACTCTTATCTGCAACTAACCAGCAAAAAGTTGGAAGTGGAGCTACAGCTCAGGTGGTAGAGTGCTAGCCCTGAGCAAGGACAGTGCCCAAGCCCTGAGTTCAAGGCCTTAGAAGTAGTCCATGTTCACACACACAATCACTCCTCCCCTAAAAAAATAAAAGACCAGGACAAGGCTCAGACAATGCCAGGGGCTCCGTCAACCCCAAGCCCAGGGCTTACCCTCTCGGGGCTCGGGCTCGATGCCCCGGAACCGGCCAGAAGCGCGGGCATCTACCACTTGGAAGTGCCTGGACTCCAGATTGTCCTTGATGTCCTCAAAGGTCTTGAGGAAGGAGGTGTCCAGCTTCGCGTGGAATGTGGCCGGCTTCGGTTGGGTTTTGCCAGCGCTGAGGGGAAGGCCCTGGCTCATCCAGTGGCGGAGGCCTCCGTCGAGGAGTGACACGGTGTGGTGGCCGAAGGCACGGAACATCCACCAGACCCTGGGTGCCGAGAAGAGACCTTGGTCGCTGCCGTCGTAGACCACGACGTGCGTGTTCTCACCCACGCCCAGGCTGCCCGCATACTCGGCGAACTGCTTGGCACTGGGCAGCATGTGGTCATAGGGGGATGTGTGGTCGCTACAGTGATCCACATCGAAGAAAGCAGCGCCTTGGATGTGGCGTTCTTCAAACTCATGTCGTGGGTTGCGGGCCATCTTGGGCAGATACCAGGAGGCGTCCAGCAACTGCAGGGGCTTCCCGGCGCCTGGTGACCTCAGGGCTTCGGCCACCCACTGCGATGACACCAGAGCGCGGAAGAGCTGAGGGGTGACCATGGCGTCAGTGGCACTCTGCAAGGCAGGGGACACGAAAGCTGTCAGGAGGGGAGGGAGGAAGAGGCCCTTCCCACGGGGAGAGGATCTGCGCTGCTGGGCGCTGCTGGGCGCTGCTGGGCGCTGGTTCACAGGAGGGTCTCCGTCACCGCAAGGCAGGGTCCAGACATGCACACACTGCTGGAGGTGACCCAAGCCCAAACCCAGACTCCGGTGACACTGGGCCTCTCTTGCTGGGTCCCGGCTACCTGTGAGTGAGCCCTGGCTGGCATCATAAAGACAAGCAGGGTCAAAGTCTTAGCCCCTCCCTGAGATGCACCCCGGCTTCGTTGGCAGCCAACCAAGTCCTGGTGGAATTCATTAGCTTATTCACCAGGCATCCTATGCCCTATATTCCTTATGGGGCAGAATGTGCTTTGCTGGGTCCCGCAGAGTCCTCCCGGTCCCCATGCACCCCACAAAGAGGGTAGAGGGGAGAAAGTCCCACCAGTGGGAGGATGCCTCCTAGGGGTTGGTACCAATTGTCACTGAGGGGGACACGGGGGTGCACAAAGTCTGCTTCCTTCCCTGGGTCAGGCCCTGTGCTGGATACTGAGGGACTTGACTTTGCCAAGGCCCCTGGATAAAGAGGAGCCTGCTCAGTAGACGCGATTGAGGAAGGGCCTGGGTTTGGTGTACGCAGAGAAGCCCCTACAGGGGGTGTGGGGGTTTGGGGGGGGGTGTGAGGAGGAGGTGGAAGTCTAACCTCATTTGACCTTTTCAGGGGCTCAGGAAATTCAGCTTGACTCTAGGATAAGGAAGTGGCTGAGGGGCTTTGGCTAAAGGGTAATCCCAGTATCACCAGAGCCAGATAATTCTGGGGAAGGCAAGGCATCTTTGAAAACCTCCATCATGACCAGAGCAGCTCCTGTAACCCCACGGTTCTAGCGACACCTGGCTCATCACTTCCCAGGATCCATTTAGGGTGGAGATAACTCTGGCTGGGAATCAGAGTCCCCCTTCCCCAGTGCAAGTTCCACTGCATGGCTTAACTGCTGTGCAGGAATGTTGGGGTATGAGGCTCATTTTTTTGGGGGGGGGCTGAACTCTGGGCCTGGGCGCTGTCCCTCAGCTAGCACCATCCACTTTAGCCACAGCACTACTTCTGGCTTTTTCCTGCTTATGTGGGGCTGAGGAATTGAACCCAGGGCCTCATGCATGGGAGGCAAGCACTCTGCCATGGAGCCACCTTCCCAGCCCCCATTTGTTTCTTATCATTGAGTTTCCCACCTCCATCTCATAGATATTAAATGAGGAAAGCAGAGGTACCGCCACAGTGTATGAGCTATGTCTGGCCAGAATAATCAAATCCCAGGATTTCTTCCATTACTTCCAGATAGCAGTAAATCCAGAATTTTAATTTCCAGAGGATACAATTTCAGAGGTGAGAAGTCACCCTGCCCCATTCTCCTGGCTTGATTGGTACAATCAGTAAAGACCTGGGGCCTTAGAGGAGGGTCTGTGAGGGCAGGCCATGGGTGTCCCTGAGGGTCAAGGATCAAGCAAAGGGACCTGGTACCTGTGCGGCACAGGGTCAGGATCACTAGGAAGAATTTTGGGAGTGTGGGGGAAGAACATAGGACATATAGAATAGCTCCAGGCCCATCTGAAGGCTGGTCTGAGCCCACGGCCCATTATTAGAAGCTCAGACACTTGGATCTTCCAGGACCTTCCTCTTCCTACTATCAAGGCGCCAAGGTTTGCTGTGTGCGTGTGTGTGTTTGTGTGTGTGTGTGTGTGTGTGTGTGTGTGGTGGTGGTGGTGGTGGGAGGCACTGGGTGCTGTCCCTTAGCTTTCGGCTCAAGATTGGTGCTCTACCACTTGCGCTCTCTCTCCACTTCTAACTTTTTTTTTGCTTTCTTGCCTGGGCTGGCTTTGAACTGTGATCCTTAGCTCTCAGCTAGGATTACAGGTGTGAGCCACCCAGTACAATATTTGAATTTTTATTTTCTTTATTTTACAACATGCTACAACACACATTTCAACGAAATACCAATTTTTAAAGAAGGGGGTGGGGTGGGGAGGGACGCCAGGGACGGCATTACAGGCAACGGGAACGGCTTATGGCAGCCAGATTGCACAGTCTGCAAGAGCTAAAGTTAGAGTTAAGGGAATTTTGCCAGTTGATGTTTAAACAGTCCTTGTTACAAATTAACTTACATAAATTCAGTCAAGAAAATTCAACCCAAAGCAACTGCCAGAAAAAGTCACAAGTTTTGTTTTTCTTTTTTTAAGGTAAACAAAGGCAATTCCCTCTCCCCCTTCTCCCCCCTTCCCCCCATGGCCCTGGGCCCCGGCTCTGCCTCTCCTGTGTCTGGGAAAGTTTCTGGCCTAGCGCAGGTCCTCATGGACCCAGGGAGGCTGGCAAGGCCCAGGCCAGGCCTGTGACAAACGTCACTTTCTTTCCCCTCCAGTAAATTCTCTGCCAGCTTCCTGCCCCCCTCCCGCGGGGGCGGAGGGGGTGCTGGGGCTCAGGGCCCCCCCACCTGGGCCTCTCCCAGTGGCCTCTTTTTGGTCCTCCAGCCCCGGTGGCACCAGGCCAAGCCACCCCCACGCGCCGCGCCCTGCGCGGGGTCCCCGGCCGAGGGGGCTGTACTCCTCCCGAGGGTGACTTGGGGGAGCCCTGAACGCCCCCTCTTTCCTAAACGGCGCTTCCGCCTCCGGCCGGGTCCCACGCTGGCACCCCAAAGACCGCCCTCCCCCTACGGAAAGGCGGTGGGCCGCGGTTCCCCGGTCCTCAGGGCTCCCCGGCTCCGCCACGGCACCCCCATCCCCGCGCCCGCAGAGGTCCCCTCCCCGGGCCACCAACCTGCAGCCCGCCGAAGGGAGGAGACTGGGGCGCGGCCCCCGCGGCGGCCCCTGGGAGCTCCGCGGTCCGCGCCTCCCACCGGCCGGGCGGGAGGGGGGGCGTCCGCGTCCCGCGGCGGCGCCCGCGCCCGGAGTCCCCGCTCCCCGGCGGCCTCCCTCCGGGGCGCTCGCAGGCGGCGGCGCGGGGGTGGGGGGCGGCGAGCCGAGGCCCGGCGCCGCGGCGCGGGCCGGTGCGGACGGCCGGCGAGAGGCGCCCGGTTCCCCCACCCCCCGCGAGGTTCGCTCGATGGTTCGCGCCGCCCGGGGGCGCCGCGGGCTCCGGGTTTAAAGGCGGGGACGAGGCGGCGGGCGGGGACGAGCGCCAGCGCGCGGCGGCCCGGGCGAGTGAGTGCGGCGGCTCCCGGGCGGGCCCCACCTGTGGCCTCGGGGACGCTCCCGGTGGCGTGAGCAGGGCGGACTCTGGGGCGTAGTTTCCGAAGCCAGGGGCGGCCGCGGCCGTGGGGTGAACCCAAGCTGCCGGGAGAGGGGGCCGGAGAGGCAGCCAGGGCCGTAGGGGGAGCCCCCTGCGTCCGGGGCGCCCCGGTTCTGCCCTCCTAGCCAATCGGGCCTCTCCCGGGCGTGTGGTCCCGGTTCTCCCTGCAGGATCCGGAGGGGGAGTGGTGGGTGCAGCTGGGTGAGCCGAGCCCCCGCGTCCCCAGTGCGCGCGCGCGCACGCGGGAGCTCGCCCGCCCCCTGTGCACGGGGGGAGCGGGGCGCGCGGTGTGTGCGTGGGGGGGGGTACACGCACCCCTCCCTCCCCCCCCGCGTGCATAAACAGCACGCGCCCGGCCCCGCCTCCCGCCCCGCCCCCCGGCGCAGCCTCTTAGGCCGCTCTCTTTCCTGGTTCCCGCCCCGCTGCCAGGTGACACGCCGAGCCGACACCATGGTTCAGCAGGTGCTGTACCGGGCGCTGGTCTCCACCAAGTGGCTGGCGGAGTCCCTCCGGTCCGGCCACCTGGGCCCCGGCCTGAGGGTGCTGGACGCGTCCTGGTACTCGCCCGGAAGCCGCCGGGCGCGCCAGGAGTACCAGGAGCGCCACGTGCCGGGGGCCTCCTTCTTTGACATCGAGGAGTGCAGGGACACGGCCTCCCCCTACGAGATGATGCTGCCCAGCGAGGCCTTCTTCGGGGACTACGTGGGCCGCCTGGGCATCGGCAACGACACGCACGTGGTGGTGTACGACGGCGACGACCTGGGCAGCTTCTACGCCCCGCGGGTTTGGTGGATGTTCCGAGTCTTCGGCCACCGCACCGTGTCCGTGCTCAACGGTGGCTTCCGGAACTGGCTGAAGGAGGGACACCCGGTCACCTCGGAGCCTTCGCGCCCCGAGCCCGCCGTTTTCAAAGCCACCCTCAACCGCTCCCTGCTCAAGACCTATGAGCAGGTCATGGAGAACATGGAGTCTAAAAGGTTCCAGCTGGTGGATTCCAGAGCCCAGGGCCGGTACCTGGGCACGGAGCCGGAGCCGGATGCCGTGGGTAGGTCGCCTGTGCTCCCTGGGGAGGATGGCAGTCAGGCCACCCCCCCCTCCCCCCAACCCCCCCCCCATCCAGGATTTTGTCCCCCCTGTCCTGCCCACCCTGGAAGCCCAGCTGCCCTTCTGCTAACAGGGCAGGGGTGGGCTTCTTCAAACTGTCACTGTGTCGTTTCCAGAGCTGTGCTGACAAGTGGCTTCCGCAGGGGTGACTGGTGACAGGGTCCCCCCATGTCCTTTCCACACGCTCACAGGTACCAAAGGGCATCCTGCTGTGAGGGCTGAATAGAAGCCGTGTCAGGACACCCCCTGACCCCGGGGAACCTCATAGGCACCCACAGTGCCCTCCTGGCACTGGCGGGCCCGTTCGCCTGGGCCCCTGTCTGGGGTTTGCAAAGGCCATGCCAGTAAACCTTCCCCAGACAGCTGTGGAGCGGTGCACAGCAGCTGCCTGCACATTGTAGACGCTTGGCCCTGCATTGTTGCCCCAGTGAAACCCTTTGTAAGTTACTTGCTCAGTTCAATGGCAGAGTCAGGACTTGAACCCCATGCTACTTTGTTTCAAACCAGCAGCTAGAACTGGGCATAGCCCTCCCACTGCCAGGAAGGTGTCTGGCTGAGATGGTTCTTGGGCTCCCTGTGCGCAAGGGGAGTACAGGGGCAAGAGGGGAGCTTCTGGAGAGGAGGTGCTGCTTCTAGAAGCTTCTAACCACAGAGGAAATCTTGCCCTTCCTAGCCCCAGGACCTGTGGCCAGCATCTCCCTAGGAGAGCAGCTGCTTTGCCCGCATTTAAGTTCTGTACTAACTTTTACCTAACTTGTTGCAAAATGTCTCTTCCTTTGTGGGCCAGAAGTGGGAGAAGGGGAGAATGCTGGGAAATCTCTTTAGGAGTCTTAGAGCTGGACTTGGTCACCTCCTGGGAAGAGGGGAGGGGTGAAGCACACAGAAGCGGGGTCAGAGGCAGGTCAAGGCTGCACACCTAGATAGCAGAGCTGGAGACTGCAGGGCGCTGTCCTCTAGTCCTCTTGTCCAGGCGCCTGCCCTCCTTGCCCGGCGTCATCTCAGAAGGTCTAGTGAAGAGTCATACTGCTGGCATGGGCAGCCCTTCCTGGCCTGAGTTCAAGGCACATTTTGTTGTTAGTTACTCTGGAGGTGAGGGCAGCGGAGCTGGTTCCTGAGGCGTTTCTAGCCTTCTCAGAAACACACAGAGAAATGCCTGATGCCAGGCACAATTACTATTCCCATTCTACAGATGAGGAAACTGGGAGGTTTGAACTCGTGCCTGTTAGGCAGGTCTCTACCACTGAGCCACGCTCCCTGCCCCGGCCGTCCTGACAGGGTGTTGCCCCTAGCCGAGCTGGAAGCAGGGTCTTAGAAGCTTGTTGCCCATCCTGGGCAGGCGGCTGCCCTGCTGCCATTTTTCTAAGGTTGGGGGGGGGGGGGTAGGAGTCCTGCAGGCCTGAGTCTGCATCCGGGTGTGGCATTAGGTGTGGCCATGGTGCGTTTCCCCACTGGGTGCTGTAATTCACGGAGGAGCAGCACTGGCTGCCCCTTTAGAGCTGCACGTCGGCCTTGCTCTCTTGCTCCTGGAGAGGTAGTCAGGACTGGGGGGGGGGGGGAAGGAGTGACCCGTGGTGAACCCTGGAGAGCACTTTTGTTACAGAACCTGTACCCAGCAGTCTGTTCTTTCTGGAACAAAGAGGGAGGGCTAGGGCACTGGCGCTGCTGCCCAGGGGAGGGGAGGGGGGCTGGGAGAAAGATTTTCTCTACTGAGGCAGGTGCAGAGGGGCTGGGACTGGACACTGGGTCGGCAAGCATCAAAGCAAGCCTAGTTCCCAAGGCCAGTGCCCGTGTGTGCGTGTGTGAGCAAACACAGGGACCATGTTGTGAGGAGAAAGGTCACTGATACACAATATTACTTCATTGTTTCATCATAGGACTAAGAAACCCCTCTGTCCCGGCCCCTCCTCCAAGGCTGGCGGGTAGGACTGCAGGCCCTGGATTCCAAGGTCTTTAAGAGGAAAAGTGGAAAAGGCCCAAAGCAGTGTTCCTGCCCTTCAGTGTACACATCCAGCTAGAACCTGACTATCCTCATTTGCCAACTTCACCGGCACCTTCTTTCCCCCAAACCAAACACTGATTCTAGACCTCTGAGCAGAGGAGGAGCAAGAGCTGCTATTCATCCTCCCTCTACCTCAGCCTCCTTTTTCGGAGAGGCTCTGGGAGTCAAAGAACACACATACCTTTACTGCAAGCTACCTGCCCTCTCTGAGCCGGAGCTCTCCATCCGTGCCGGGACAAGCAGCTCCCTGGCTTTGTGAAGGCTGGGGAAGGTCTCAAGAGAACCCAGAACAGTGGTCTGTCCACTATGGGGAGGGAAGGCGGCAGCCTGCAGCTGGGGATGGACAGGGAGGGAGGGAGAAGCAAGAGGCCCAGCCGGCCTCTGATCAACATGGAGCCTTGCTCCAGGTGGCTGTTCTCCAGAGTTTTCTGGCCTCGGCCCATGGGCTCATGGCAGACCTTCCCTCCCTGCACATTTAAATGTGGCTCCTGCACATTTAAATTCTCCAGGCACAGGCCCTGAGCCCAGCTCAGGGGTGACCAGGAGGACCCCGCTCCCCTCACCTCCACCCCCGGGCTTCATCCCCAGAAAGGCTCCCCTTTGTAGAATCCTTCCATTCTGCCAAATGCATTCCCCAACGGCCCCTGCCTGCAGGCCCCAGAGCTTGAAGCTGGGTTTCTTGGGGAGGTCCACCCTCAAAGCTGGCAGTCACCAGCGCCACTAGGGCAGGGTCAGTACCTAGCTGACCAGTACACCCAGACTAACATCTCCATTCGGACAGGATGTGATGGAAGCTGGGCACTGTGGCTCACGCCTGTAATCCTAGTTACTCAGGAGGCTGAGCTCTGAGGATTGGCATGCAAAGCCACACCAGGCAGGAAAGTTCATGAGACTTTTTTTTTTTTTCAGGCAGAAAAAGTTTATTGGGGGGAAAGCAAACTGCAGGCCTGCAAGAGTTGGAGCCATGCGGAAACAGAGGGGAAGGAAGAAGAGAAAGAGAGAGAAAAAGAGATTCTTATTTTCAATTAACCAGCAAAAAAGCTGGAAGTGGAGCTGTGGCTCAAATGGTAGAGCACCAGCGTTGAGTGAAAAAGCTAAGGGACAACACCTAGGCCCTGAGGTCAAGCCCCTGTACTGGTAACACACACACACACACACACACACACACACACAGATGAGGTAGAATCACAGCGGGAAGAAGCAGTCATCGTTTACAAGTGGGGACTTGTGTAGTCAGGGGACTTCTGTGCTGATCATTCTGGAACTTGGGGTTCTAAAATAGCTGGCTTCATTGTGCATCTGTTGCACCAGGATTATTAAGGGGTCAGTTACTAAGGGTCACCAGGGGCTTTTACCTACATCAGGGCAACCTTTCCCAGCCTGTGAGGTGAGAAGGTCGTCTCCCCATTCCACAGCAGGTGGACTGAGGCGCAGCGCGGAGGGGTCTGCCACTTCCTGATGAATTGGGTTTAGGGTATGGCTTACTGGCTGACTAGGCTTTGGCCAGTAGGCCAAGCCAGCTTTGGCCATGCTTATACTCTTTGCCTCTCTTGCTTGCATGTGAAGTCAGTTTTGGCACAGAGCCTCACTGGGTATGAAATGGTTCTAGAAAGGACCACAGAGTGAAGGCCAGCTCCTCCTCTCTGCTCCCCTCAAGCTTCTGGTGTCATTTTTCAAGCTTCAGGTATCATCATTGTATCATTTCTTCCTTCCTTCCCTCCCTCCCTCCCTCCTTCCCTCTTTCCTTCCTTCCTTCCAACCTCTTCCTTTTTTCTTTCTTTTGTCGGTCAGGACCTGGGTGCTGTCCCTGAGCTCTTTTGCTCAAGCCTAGTGCTGTACCACTTTGAACCACAGCTCTACTTCTAGTTTTCTGGTGGTTAATTGGAGATAGGAGTCTCATGGGACATTCTTGCCTGGGCTGGCTTTGAACCACAATCCTCAGATCTCAGCCTCATGAGCAGCTAGGATTACAGGCGTGAGCCACCATTGCAAACCTGGCTTGCAAAGCTATCTTTAGAGTCATGGCTGGTGCAGCCCTCATGCGTGCATCTCCTAACCCTAACCCGTGTCCTTTGTCACCATCCAGGACTGGAGTCAGGGCATATCCGAGGCTCCCTCAACATGCCCTTCATGGACTTCTTGACAAAGGATGGCTTTGAGAAGAGCCCCGAGGAGCTCCGGGCCATGTTCCAGGCCAAGAAGGTGGACCTGGCACAGCCCCTCATCGCCACGTGCCGCAAGGGGGTCACAGCGTGCCACATCGCACTGGCCGCCTACCTCTGTGGCAAACCTGACGTGGCCGTCTACGATGGCTCCTGGTCGGAGTGGTTCCGCCGGGCACCCCCGGAGACCCGGGTGTCCCAAGGGAAGGGCGGGAAGGCCTGAGCTCGGCCTCTCCAGCGTACTAACTGTAGCCAGTTTAGAGAGGCTGGCGTGGCCTGCTGCCTCACACCTGCTAGCCAGAGGAGATTGACCGGGTTTTAGGATGGCGCAAGAGCCCACCCTTTTCAAACATCTGGAATAAACCACCTTTTTCTGAGTCATGTGTCTGCCCTGGGTTCTGTCCCTGCCCTTCACTTCCATCCTTTTCAGATTCCTCAGACCCCCCCCCCCCCAACAAGCCTGCAGCTGTCGGCCACCCCGAGGACACACCACGTTGTTCAGTGGTGGCAGAGAAAGCCACTTGCTGCGCATGTCAGGTGCACTCTGTCCTGGAGCATGCTGGGACCAACCAGCAAGGCCCGGCAGGAAGTGGGTGCCAGAGAGAGGAAGTCAGTGCCGGACTGGCCCTGTCTTTCCAGCTGCGGGAGGGTGGGGAGGACTAGGGACAGCACAGCTGGCCTTCCAAGGTGGCGTCACACACCCTAGGATCTCTCGGGAGCTGGGGCCTATAAGCCGGCAAAGGGAGGCAGAGGGCTGTGGCTTTAGTGCCCTTCTGGCTTCAGAAAGACTTTGCTGGGTGGCAGTGGCTCACACTTGTAATTCAGATGTGCAGTTCAAAGTCAGCCCAGGCAGAAATGGGACTCATTTCCAACTAACCACCAAAATCCAGGAGGGGAGCTGTGGCTCAAATAGTAGAGTGCCAGTTGAGGGAAAGAGTTAAGAGGACTATGCCTGGGTCCCGAGTTCAAGCCCCAGGACCAGCATTCACACACACACACACACACACACACACACAGAGTTAACACCGTGAATCCCTCACTCCACGGGAGAGAGGCCCCTCACCGTATCTTACATTTTAGTCTTCCTGCCCAGTCCCTGATCCCTTGGCATCCAGCTTGGCCAGCCAGAATCCCCCCCCCCCCTCCACTACTTTGACCTGCATATTTAGACCTTTCATATTTTAGTGTCTTCTAAACTATTGAACTGCATACCCTTCGAGAGCCAATGAAATGGCCCTTCTGTGAGCCCTGCTCCCTTTTCTCTGAACAGACTTAGTCCTGCCTTCTCTTGACTCCTTCCTTCTCCCGCACTTCCTTGTACTTGGTGACACCTGTGTCTAGTGAGTTTGGCACACAACCCGACCTTTGGGGCTGCTCAGAGGATATTTTGAGTGGATAAGTAAATGTCTCTTCTGTCCCAGGAGTCCTAGTCCTCTCCCGCACCTTTTCCCTTAGGGGTGGGGGCATCAGCCCTCCGAGATCATAGAGATTACCGTGGCAACTCCAATGAACAGCTGGGAAGGCTGTTCCCTAGCAACCACTTACTGGTCCTCATCAGTAGTGGTGTGGGTGGGTCTACGTCCTGCCAGCTTTAGGACACTCCAGAGCGGATCAGGGGCTTTGATGGTATGAAAGACCGTGGAGAGGCGAGACAGAGAGACCTGTGAGCATGGGCCAGGGCTCTGCCAAGACCTGGGTTTTCTTTTCTTTCTCTCTACGCAGAGCTGCTTGTGAGTGCCGAGTGCTCAGGCTGTCGTTGGGCCTACCCTCCCTCTCTCCTTCGTCGACGTCTGTCGGGACCTTCCTATCCAGGTCAGAAACTGGCAGTGAGCCCCACTTTCTGGGCCAGCCTGTCCAGGATGCTCAGACAGGGAGCTACGGGAGGCCTGTCGGTGGGTGGCTGGGGGGTTGCAGCAGGAATGGGACAGGAGGGAGACAAGTAATCTGCAGGAGCTTGGCCTAGCTTGAAGACATACAGCTGTTTTAGCACCATCCCCGTCCTTATTTCTTTTCTTCCCGTTTCCCCATCATGACAGAAGATTAATTTATAGTTACTCTGAACGCCTCCGTGAGCCCTTGTGAAGATGTACTGACCTACTAGGTGTAGAGATGCTGGAGGTAGGGGCTGTATGAGTCAGCTTCACTGCGTAACAAGTCACCCCCAAACTCAGTGACCTGGGATGACGTGCTGGTCATCTCTTGGTCTCAGGGGTTGAGATTGTAGGTCAGCTTTGGTGGATCTCTCTCAGGTGGCATTCTGGTGAGGGGTGAGGATTCAGTGTCAAAGTGAAGGACTCTTTTCCAAGGTCACTATGTACATAGCAGGACTGAGGTTTTCATAAGCCACTGCCCAGAAGCCATGTCATTCCTTGCCACATGGACCTTTGCACAGGACAACTCCTCACACAACCCCGACTTCCAATCAGGGAGTCCGGGAGCTGGGAAGAGCCTGACAGTGTGAACAGCTTTGGTAACTCAGAGGTGACCTGCTTCACTTAAGCCACATCCAAGTCACTCGGTCCAGACACACTCGAGGGGAGAGGACTCACTGTGCAGCGGCCACACAATTGCCAGCCACTGTCCACCTCTGGGCCCCCACAAGAGACCCCCCCCTCCGAGTACGACCCATATCCACCTGCTCTCACAATGTCCAAAGCCTCACCTGGTGGTGGTGTGGATGAGGCTCCTGGGTGTCCTCGGTCCTCTCCTCCCCGGCAGAGCTCCTGGAACACCACCAGGCGGTAGCGCCAAGGACACAAGAGACACCATGGACGCCTCCATTCAAACATGAGGACAATGACACAGGTCCACGGCAGTTCTGAAACCCAGCCTGGCCAAGGCCGCCGGTTCCTTGTGTGGGTTTCTAGTTGGAGACCATCCTCCACCGCCCCCAACTCTGACCTGTGGTCTCCTTCTTCCACGCTAGTCCAATAGTAGTTTTCATTTTCTCCGAAACTATGACAGAAGCCACAGCCACTGTTCGCCTGGAGCTCCTGGGGAGGATCGTCACAGCTAAGCTTCTTAGACGCTCTGCCATTGTGCAAAGAGGGCTTGCTGTGAGACTGAATAGTATTCTGAACCTTAGATGTGTGTGTGTGTGTGTGTGTGTGTGTGTGTGTGTGTGTGTGTGTGTGTGTGTGTGTGAACTAGGGCTCTGGGCACTGTCCCTGAGCATTTTTGCTCAAGGCTAGCCCTTTACCACTTGAGCCACAGCTCCACTGGTTAATTGGAGATAAGCATCTCAAGGACTTTCCTGCCTGGGCTGGCTTTGAACCTCCATCCACAAAATTTCATCTCCTGAGTAGCTAGGATGGCAGGTATGTGCCACTAGCACCCCATCTTCTTTCTATGGTGGTAACAAATGGCTATAATCACACGCTTGGTCTCATCTTCCTTCCAGACCACTGAAGCCATGTCTTACATGTCTTAATTTTCTATTCTGTGGCATCTAGAGAGGAGAGTTTTCAAAACCACAAAGTCCTTCCTGGCTCATCTCTGCTAGATCCTCCCTTCTTTTACTCCTTTCTGTCAGGATTTGCCATAAGCAACAGGACTACTCTGGGGCAAGTTCCTTCAGTACCTGTGCAGAAAATCTGTGCCACCCAATCTCTCAGCCCATGGTGACATGTTCTTTGTGTCACATCCCACCAATGATGGTGCACTGTCTTAAGGTCTCACCCCTTCCCTTCCTCCCTTCCTTCCCTTTGGCTCCTACAAGCTCAGATTTCCGCCCTGTCCAACATGTATGGAGGGTGTAGGAGGCTTTTCCTGTCGTGCTTCTCAAACTCCCTCAAGGACCCCCACCGCTTGGCCCTTAGGTGTTCATACTACAACCTCCCACTGTGGGTACGAAATCATGGATTATCCATTGCTGCATAGCAACTAACCATGAAGCTTAGCAGCTGAGACCTCTGCACTCACCTGAGTATCAACCAGCTTATGATCCCACAGTTTCCACTCTTGGGCAGTGTGGATGGAGATAGACAGCTTTCGTGTCCCAAGCACCCCTGGGGTGTCTCTGGGAAATGGGGGAGGGGGGTCTGATGTATGAACAGGTCACGAGCTCCCCACGGAGATCAGCCTTTCCTGGGAGCCTGAGCAGCAGCTGCATGTTGGATGCATTCTTTCTCTTATCTTGAAGGCAGGATGTTCTAGTTTGGGGTGAGTTTGGGGGTCAGCAGCAAGTTCCTGGAATCAGCTCAGAAAAACAAGCAAGGCCACAGGAATTCAGAGCAAAGGTCATGTTCAAGAGGATGGGACCACTGGGGCGCACTGCCTGCTCTTCTGTGGGGTCAGGATTCTGGAGGGCCTCACGTGGGGCCTGGTGACAGCTGGGCTGTGTGGCTATGAAGCCAGGGTTGGCAGGGTCAGGAGACATGGGCAAGTCCATTCCAGGGCAGAATTCATTCCGTTCTTCAAGGCTCGTTGGCTAAACAGCCTGCGCTTCTTAACAGCTGTTGACCTCACATCCTGGCCACACAGGGTGGCTTCAAATGTAGCAGCAGCCATGCTCACAGACTGAGCAGACCAGAGAGAGCCAGGGAGAGGGAGGGTGGGAACAAAAAAGACACAAGGGATCTAACCCAGAAGTCCAGAAGTGTCAGCATTTTGGACATAGTGTGTGTGTGTGTGTGTGTGTGTGTGTGTGTGTGTGAGAGAGAGAGAGAGAGAGAGAGAGAGAGAGAGAGAGAGAGAGAGAGAAGCAGACAGACAGACAATACTGGGGCTTGATCTCAGGGCCTGGGTGCTGTCCTTGAGCTTTTTTGGCTCAAGGCCAACATTCTATCACTTGGTCTACATTTCCACTTCCAGCTTTTTAATGGTTAATTGGAGATAAGAGTCTTATAGACTTTCCTGCCCAGGTTGGCTTTGAACCACAACCCTCAGATCTCAGCCTCCTGAGTGGCTAGGATTGCAGGCCTGAGCCTCCAGTGCCTGGATGATGTAAGCAAACCACAAGGTCTGGCCTGTATTTGAGCAGGACAGGTGACATGGGGTCTGAATGCATAGGGGGAGGGGGAATATGTTGAAGGTCACAGCAGAAGATGCAAGTAATGAAGTGAGATAGTTATGTGTGTGTGTGTATACACACACAGACACAGAGGCATAGACAGACAGACAGACAGACAGACAGATTTCCCTCTCTGCCTGTGCTAGGGGTTGAACCCAGGACCTCATGCAAGCTATCCAAGTGCTTTACCACTAAGCCGGATCCCTAGCCCCAAATAACCATGAAGTATTAAAACAAACAGCAAGTTTTACTTCCTATTGTTCATCTTGAAAGGAAATGAAGTCGATATGTTTCCTACCTGATTGAGGCTATCTGCGAACCAACTTGCTGGCGACCTTAGACAAGTTACTCTCCCTCTCTGGTCCT